GATTTTGCAAAAAATCGACCGGCCGGGTCGAAAAATCGGCTTGGCCGATTTTTTTGGTCATCGACCAGAATCACTATATGTACGTACGTAATTTTTGCATGCAGTATTGAATTTGATCTTCGTAAATTAGCCAATCATAATCTGCCTTATCACATGATTATCAAATGGCGAATTTTTATTGGTCGACTATAGAAAAAAAAAAAATTTTCGATCTTCACTTTGTTGACGCGGGCGGGATATGAAAACCAATTATATAAATTTATATAGCCTAATTATATAGAGGTGGTTTTTTATATTTACCAGTATTAATTCAAGATAATTTTAGTATGTTTTTTTTTATAAAGTAGCCATCCCCCAAATTTAATAATATCCAAAACTGTAAATTTTATAAATCTTAACAGGTCATAAGGTTATAACCTATAGTTGGTCAGGCAAAATCGATACTTTTGAGTCCGTAAATTTTGTTGTCACGTGATGATATACAGTAGCTTATCCAATAGCGAGCCAGGAAGATCAAAAAATCTTATTTCTCATTCGCGCTCTAACAAAAAAATTTCCTCGAGCAATTTTATTATATACCTGCTAACGTCTAACTTTATAGTAAGCACTAACCCTAACTTAAATGAACTCAAATTTTTTCGTGCGCCACTACACTGTCACGTGACAGTAGAATTTTTATGGCGATACTGGGAAAGATGATTTCGTCCTATGAAGTCGACTCTACTAATGCTAGAGTCGATTTTAAAAAACCGCCCGACTTAGTCGACTAAGTCGATTTATCAACTAGATATATGGATACTATCCCAAAATCTTCTGTTTTGGCATCAATTTGCAACCAATTTACAAAATAATTATAATTTTCTTAATTTTCTGCAATGACTCACGAAATTTGGTACACGTACTTTCAAATCAATTTTGCATTACTATTAAAAATTTCCCAACCATCATATACATTTATATATATTTTCACGAAAATAAAATGATAAATAAAGTTAAATAAATTAAATAAAAATATTGGGAAAATTTTCTTATAATAGTGGCAATGACATAAATCTTTTAATTTTGCTCGGCTTATTACTAATGTCACTTGCAACCTGTGATATGTTGAAACCTGGTATGTTTGGTATTTGACCATCCTATTTAAGAAGCAATTAAAAGAATTAATAATTATAATAAAATTATTTCCACCATGGAAATTTACCATTTCCACAATATATTTTACGTGACTTACGGCGCCAATATGGAGATAGCAAATTTCCATGATGGAAATAGGAATTATCTAAAATTAATGTAATTTAAATATCTTACCTGAATAGGGCAGTCTATATTAGCTGTCTTTTGGAAACTTGGGCTCACAGGTATAAAAAGAACATTAAATGACAAGGTCAATGTGTAATCAATTGCCAATTTGGACTTACTACCACCAGTTAACCCACATTTTGTTGCGATATCAAGTAATATCGAGAATCCTGGATCAATTGATGCATCATAATTGATAGAAAATGGGAATGTAATTGTAGTGTTGGATTTACTTGGAATGTTAACGTTAGTTAAATTCCCACCCCCGATAGGATTTTGGTGACCTGGATAATATGCCTGGGTTTCAAGTAAAGTTTCAATAAAAATTGGAAATATTATTGGATGCACTGTCTAATTCACGATACGAAAAAAAAGATCAAAAAATTGCAAAATTACCACAGCCTTTATCATCGAGAATCTTGCACCAATGATATTAGGATTGTTAACTTGGATACGAAGACCAAAATTAAAATCAAATCCAGAAGCCTTCTTAACATATGGTTGAGCACCGGTGGGGGAATCCGAAACTCCTAAGAAGTCAACTGATGGTACACGTCCCAATAGCAAAACTGCTGCTACAAGTCCAATAATAATTAAAAGAAGGATGCAACATATAATCCCACAAGTTTTCGCACACGATGTTCGGCTTCCACAACAAAAAAATTTCATCAGGCCACCATGTTTTGCCTCCTGTTTAGGTTCGTCTTCAAACTCAGATAATTTTTGAGTATCATAATTTTTTGGAGGCTTCGGCCCAGTTGTTTCCGGTGCGACAGCAGAATATCCAGCAGTTGGTGACATTTCTTTATTTTCTGAATAAGAATCAAGTGGTTCATACGAAGCATGTTCTGGAGGAAAATACTTTGGATTTGAATTATCTTTTCTATCATAACCCGATGAATGTGGCAGACTTGCTTGGGAACTTGGATAACCTGATTGTGATCTTGAATTTTGATAGGGCGCTGGGGGAATAGGACTAGTCGTTTTGAATTAGAAGTTAAATAAATCTCTTAATTGTAAATAATATGATGATAGAAATAAATACCTGGAATTTTGAAAAGCATTGGAAGAATTATAAGTTCTATTATACATATCTATATTACTACCATATGCATTGTTTCCATCATTATAATTATTATTATAATAGTAATTACTATTATTATTATATCCATTATATGAATTCTCTTGATTATAACCCTCCGTTGTATATTGCTGATAATTGCTATTATAGCCGGCATTGCTTCTACCATCCTCATGAAATCTGTTATTATGAAGTGGATGAAAACCTGCTTTGTCGTTCCGATAATTGTAAGCCATGACTTTTTTTCTTACTATAACCGGTATAAATACAAGTGTTCAGTATATTACAAAGAAGCAACAATATTGTGAAGCTTCTTGATTAAGAAAAATATAAAAATTTTTAGTCCACGCACGAATCACAAATACCCGAGCGTGGAGATCGACGTTATATAGGAGCACAAAAAGTTTGTCAAAACTTCATTAATTGCAAAAGGTTAACTTCATTCAAAGGCGTTTTTATTATGAGGCGGAGCTATCGAAGCTATATCGAGTAAAAATATATCACACTAAAAAGGAAAGACAAACAAATATTTATTGCAAAAGGCTTTGAAGAATGGCAACGGACAAAGCAGGTACAAAGCAAGTACAAAGCCGGAAGAAAAAGATTGACCTCTTTATGCTTAATCTTATTTCTTACAGACGAAAGGTGAAAATTTGTTGCTCCAGGCAAGAAACAACTTTACAATTCTTCCTCTGCGTAGCTACCAGCCCTTATGATTATGGGTCGTTAAAATGATGCAAAGTAGTTTAATAACGATAAATCAACTTCAATGGCGGGCTTTATAAAATACTCATTTGTACAACTTTATTTCTTATTCTTATTTTTCTTATTTGAGACTTTCTATTAATAGATTTATGTAATTTATTATGATTCATTTATTACAAAGATCGCATTGTAAATAAATACCAATACGAGATCCGATCGTAATTTTTTAATATAAAAATTTCACGTGACATGTCTAAAAAAATTACATTAAAAATAATATAACATAATATATACTGTAATAGAAGTGATTGGTTGCACAAAATAGTGCTACAACTAATTAATCGAATATTAAAACTATTGTTGAAACATGTTAGTATCTTGTTAGTTTATACAAATAAATTCTGCAACAATTATTCAAACCTACCCTGATTTGATAACTTCCGGCTTTTGTCATATACCTTACCCATTTGACACTAGTATAATTGCTTTTTTCAAAAACCTTCAAAAATCTTACTAGTAATCCTGAAGATGTAAACATCAATACTTGAAAATCCATTGATATTGGCGGTCTCGACCATGCCTTTTTGACTGTCATTGCAGAAAGCTCTGCGTCCCCACTTAACATTACTTCATACTGTCCTTGAAATCGCGGAATTCTGTTATTATACAAAATTGTGAACAAAATGACAGTATCAACAGTATTGATGGACGAAAGAAATATATATATATTATTTACTTCCAAACAATTGCATTCTCAGCTGGCACATATTTCGCTTTTCCTGAAGCGACACGAACATTTATATTGGCGGTATTAAGCGGTGTGGGGATCTTTAGTAATACATTATTTGCGTATAATTTTGGCGAAAAATTCGCTTTCACTGTGACCCGATACTCGACACGAGATTTTCCAATTTCATTGACTACCGGATGGACACGGAACGGAAGAATGACATTTTCAGTAGTGCGGTACCTTCGTGATTCAATAATATGGCGAATGCTCAACTAATGACAAGTGCGATCTCAACTAATACAGTAATTTATTAAATAATGACTCTACCTCATTAATTCAAATTCACCATCTGGTGGTACAAAGCTGATTGTACGATCTGAATCGAATTTTCCCAATTTTACACATTGATGAAATTGACAATCATCGATTTCAACAGCAGTAGATTTCCTTGCCCTTTAATGAACAGTTAAATAAATTTGAGAAGCCACTTGATATAATGTGACTAGATACGTACATTCCTTTATGAGAAGTATCTTTTTCCAACAATAATTTGTCATTCAATCCAAATTTACACTCGGGTGTTCCAGAAAGATAAGCCCTCATCATAATTTGCCCAGAAACGTCAGCCCTTAGTGTAGTACCTTTTGGTTGTCATGAAAAGTAATTTAATACGAGATTAAATAATATTAATACTACATAGAAAATTCTTTATACCTTTGGCACTCATTAACAGATTAATTGACTCGATAACATCTATAAAAGCCTCATTCTTTCGATACTTTATGTCTGGTCTTCGCCACGATGTGGCACCAGTTGCTTGAATTGTAATTTTCGATGAATCTTCTTTCTAAAATTTTAACATTTGTAACCTTACATCAATATGATTAAAAATTCATATATATATAAAGAATGACGTACTAAGGCACGTTCAGACTTGACACCTTCAGTGGTAATATATAATTTCAGTGTGTCAGTTTCGCTGTTTTGTGGATATCCAAAATCGAGAACCTCTGGAACAAAATAGCATTGAAAGGTGAATGGTGTGAACAAATAATAAAAATTTTACTCTTAACAAAATTCTATAAATTCTAACCATCTAAAAGCTCATACACCAGTACAAAATTATTCTTAACGGCTTCCTCATCCAATTTTCCAAAATAAGCTTTTCCAATATTTACGAGTCGATAACAAAATTCGAACACTAGGGCGGCGTTAGCGTTGCATTTGGTAACAGCAACGATAAAAAGGTTTTCATGCCGAACGTGAAAAAATGAAGTAGAACCAAGCGTAACTATGGGTGATCGTATATCAGTGTTGGATATTACTTGTATTCGAAATATGTCTGCTACGGATCGTCTAAATAAATTAATTCAAGGTGAAATTAGTAGTCTAAAGATTGCTAAAATGTCCAACGTACATACTTCAGATCTTGACGATATAATCGTGAGATGAGGACTTCACCCTTCTGATTGTAAATAAAAAACGCACTAATCATTTTGTGTATTCCAATTGTCCGAAGCGTAGTTGAGGACACTATACTTCTAGGCATTTAGATCGAGGTGAGACCGTCCCAAATATGGAAATGATTATCCGATGGTTACACAATTGTGAAAGAATTTTTTTTATACG